GGATGGGTGTATCAGAGGCAGTGCGATTGGCACAGAATAGAGCAGGGTTTAGGGCTGTTGTACATTGGGTCGCTATGAGTCACAAGCAACTAGACAACACATAACAACAACAACAACAACAATAATAGTATGACACTGTAGAAAAGCATTTATGAGCAGGAATTCTTGCTCCACATGCTGGAAGTCAAGATTTAGCCTCCTTTTCAAGAGAGCAAGAACATAAGAAAGGTCTTTCCGTAAAGAGTGAATATTATAAACATTATTTTCCCTCCTAAAGAATGTTATTATTTTTAAGTGCTGACACAGTAGAAATGCCATATAGGTTTCTTTCTGCTTGCTTTGGGCTGTAATTTTCACAAAAGCAGATTACCAGATTTTTCTTCCCCAAAACAATAAGCAACTACCAACCTTTTGGTAGATTTAAACTACCAACCTTTTGGCTTTCAGTGAGTGCTTAACTGTTGTACCTACAGAACTCCATTCCTAAAGAATAGAGAACTCTCTTATAAATGGAATTAACTTTGCTTCTTAAAATGCCCTTAAATCATTGAATTTGTTCAAAGCATGAACTAGTAAGATGTGGAATGCTGCATATCAGAAGAATTAAACACAAAAAGGAGTTTCCAAGAACATATCCTATGATAATTAATATTCTGGTGTCTTTCATGCAGAATTTACAGTGCCCTTAAATGGTATATCACTAAATTGCAGCCTTTTTGCCAGCCAAGGCAGTTCCAGTAGTTTTCTAAATTAAAACATGTGCTTTTAAAATTTCTTCATGAGTCAGAAGTTTGGAACTCAAAATTTACTTTACCAAAGAAATAAGTTAAAAGTGACGGCTACTTTTCCTGGACACCTCACAAATGCCTAGTTAGCATGGACATGTTTTAGTGAAGGCATCACAGAGTGTTCTGGACAAGAAGGCCTGAAAGCAATTCCACCTTTTCAGCTTAATAAGTCTGTAGTTTAGTAGCTCTGTGACTTTGGACAAGCTGCTTGAGCTGCAATTTTTTTTCCTCAGTAACATGAAATATTATCCTAACTAGGATTATAGGCACTGCATAGTACTAGGACCTATACCTGGACCAGGAGGCTGTTGTGCAAACAGAGCAGGAGAACACGGCATGGTTTAAAATTAAGAAAGGAGTGCATCAGGGTTGTATTCTCTCTCCGTACCCATTTAATCTATACGTTGAGAAAATTATTTGAGAAGCTGAACTCTATGAAAGAGGAGTATGGCATCAGGTTTGGAGGGAGACTCATTAATAACCTGCAGTTATACAGATGACATAACCTTGCTTGCCGAAAGTGAGGTGGATCTGAAATATTTGTTGCAGAAGATCAAGGAATGCCACCTTTGGTGTAGATTGCAGGTCAATATCAAGAAAACAAACATTCTTACCACTGGACCAACAGGCAGTGTCACGATGGATGGAGATGAGATTGAAACTGTCAACAGCTTCATCTTACTTGGGTCCACAATTAACACCCTTGCTACAAGCAGTCAGGAAATAAGGAGACACATTGCACTGGGAAAATCTGCAGTTAGGACCTCTCCAAATTATAGAGGAATGACGATGTAAGTTTGAGGACTAAGGTACATCTGATTCAGGCCATAGTCTTTTCAATCATTTGATATGCATTTGAAAGCTGAACATTGAATAAGGATGATAGAAGAAGAATTTATGCCTTTGAGCTGTGATGTTGGAGAAATGCACTGAACATCCCATGGACGGTCAAGAGAATGAACAGATATGTCTTGAAGAAGGTGCAGCCGGAGTACTCTTTGGAGGCAAGAATGAAGCTTCACCTCACAATCTTTGGACATTTTGCTAGGAGGGGATATTCCTTTCAGAAGAACATGATGCTTGGAAGGGTGAAGGGTCAGCACAGGAGAGGATGTCCCTCAACCAAATGGATTGATGCATTGGTTTCTGCAATGGACTTTTGTGTGTCATGAAGTGTGGGGATGGTGCACGATAGAAGAGAGTTCAGATCTTTTGTTCAAAGGGTCTCTATGAATCATAGTCGACTCAACAGCACCTAACAATAACATCTAGGATACATAAATCAATACCTGGTACATAGTAGGTGTTGTTGTGTAAGTGCTTTTGGTGACATAGAATGAATCAGATTAATGGTGACTCCACGTGTGTCAGAGTAGAACTATGCTCAATGAGATTTTCAATGACATTGGTACTAGATAACTGGGATTTTCTTCTGAGGCATCTCTGGGTGGATTTGAACTTCCAGCCTTTCTGTTTGAAGTGGGGTGTTTGTATCACTCAAAAATTCATTACTGTGAACTATATATAGAACTATCAGTAGAACCAGCTTGAAATCTGGTTCCTGAATCTAGTCTGTTTTGCATGCCCTTCAAAAGCTTTCAGTATGGATTATATCTCAACAGCAAGAAAACAGAAATCCTTACCAAATGGACCAATAGGTAATATTATCAGAGGCAGAGAAAAGACTAAAGTTGTCGATGATTTCACTTTACTTGGGTCTCTTATTAGTATTCATGGTAACAGTAGTCAAGACATAAAACAACATGTTGGATTGGGAAAATACGCTGTCAAGGAACTTCCCAAAGTTCTAAAACAAAGATGTCAGTTTAAAGACTAAGGTGTGCCTAATCCAAGTCATGGGGTTTTAATTTGCTACCTAGGCATTTGGAATCCTTCACGAGGCTTGGGGACTGGAGTCTCTCTACACTCGGCAAGTCAGCCGGCTATGCGGGTAGGATGGCTGGCGTCTCCATGGCGGCTCCTCGTGGTGACAGTCAGGCAAGGGAAGTTTCTGGGGCCTTTCGCGTTGTGTGTTACTGTCCTTCTTTGGCCTTCAAAGGCGGATGGGCAGCCCGACCCTTAGAATAAGGGTAAGTAAGGGTGGGGTCGAGCCCGTGGAGCCTGCTCCAGGCTCTAGCTTAAAATCCTTCACTAGGTGAGGCTTGAGGTCTGGAGTCTGTCTACACTCTGAATGTCAGCCTACGGCCCTCGGGCCAGCCTTTAATTGTTTTTTGGCGAATCATTCTTCTAGTTTGTGTAACCCTGGGATGTCCACTTGCTGTTCAGAGGTAACTTGTGGTTGCTGTAAGCCGAACACTGTGACACTGATGAGTCAAATGCAAGAATGGTTACCCATGGTGAACAGTGTTTGGTGAAGCTCCCAGATTAAAACAAGCTTGGAAGCAGGTGTGGCATTTACTTTCACAATAGCTTGCTTCAGGAAACTCTATGAACCTGGAGAAAGGATGAAAGCTATACAGGAGATGTCCAGGACTTTTGTTCATAGGGTTGCTATGAGTTGCCTGCGACTTGATGGCACTTAACAACAACATGCATCTCAAAATGGAATCAATGCTTTTTAATCATGGTGTTAGCAAGGAATATTGAATATTGTGGTGTCAGAAACCTTAAAAACTGGCTTTTCTAGCCATTACATTAACCCCCATTGGGGGCTGCATGGTCTCCAACTACCTTAGCTGCAGACACATGGTCTTACAAATCATCAACAACTGTGGGATCAATACAGAAGAGAAAACTTTCTCCACTGTGAGGTGCTCTAGTGATAGCTGTGGAGAAAGGGTAGAGACCGTGGCACTGCTGTGAAGAGACTAAGGGAAGGTGTAACCAGAGGAACCCTGCACTTATGCTACAGTTAAAGATTTTGCTTGCTGAACTGACACCTGGAAAAGCTGACTTATAACTGCTCTGAGATAAAGTTTGCTGGGTGATTGAAGAAACCAGAGGCTTCTTATATCTGTGCTGCTGAACTGAATCCAGATAGTCACTAATTGAGAAATTATGACTCGTTTAAAATCTGGTTTGGGATTGCTGTACTAAACCTGGACTTGGATTGTGTGATGTTCTTTTCCTCTCGCACCCTCCAATCTATTTCCCTAATAAACCTCACAATTGTGACTAAAGTCTGTGAGTCAACAACAAACTAACAAACCTAATGATTCATAGAAATGGTACAGGAACATGTAAGGTGACATGTCTCACTAAGCAGCTATTTGTTTGGGATTGTTGTTGTTATGTGCCATCGAGTCGTTTCCGACTCATAGCGACCCTATGCACAACAGCTCTAAAC